ACAGAAAATTATTTAAATTTATTTCATGATGGAAATTACATTGTAATGCTCTGAATATGTGCTTCAATTTAGTCGAGATTATACGTACATGTAATACAATAAATGAATTACATTAAATGATCACATATCCAGATCCATACGTGCACTTCTTTCAAAGTAAGAACTTTATTGCCACTACTCAGATTCTATATTAATACACTATTAATCTTTCTTAATCTTGTACGCTGGCATGCTTACAATGATAAATATCATCTTGCGATCCCTTATTCCACGCATCTTGCACTTTCTGGCATAAGAGTAGTTGGTGGTCATACTAAATGAATCAGCCGTTGTCCCATCATCTCCAATATATACACTCCTGATAAAAAATTTAAAACCACTTGAAATTTTTTTTATAAGAGACTGTTTGTCATGAATACATTATAAACTTTTTCTTACTTAGGGTTACTAATTCTATAATCTAAAAGGTTATGTAGGCAAAAAGTTATCCGATCAATTTATTAAGAAATGGACATTTTTATAAAATGTGGCGTTTTACACTTGATCAAAATTATAAGACCACGGGGTATAAATTGTTAGATCTATGGTAATGCTAATATTTGTAGTTCAGTTAGAGATTAGCAATCACTGCGTAAAGGTGTCACCATGCCAAAAGCAAGCAAACTTACCGTTCAGCGTGCTCGAATTTTAGATTTAATAATCAAGGTTTGTCACAACGGGCGATCGCAGCTAAGGTAAATCGCAGTAAAACTGTGATTTGCAACTTTCTAAAGGACAATGCGAATTATGGAAATGCAAAGTCTACTGGTAGGCTCCCACCCAAATTTCTCCGGCATTGAGTAGGAGAATAAGACGGGTTGTTGTGAAAGCCAATGGACTTTCTTCTAGTCAAATTAAGGCAGCCACAGATGCTGATAGCAGTCCAGTAACCATCAGACGAAACTTACGACAAAAAGCGCAAACAAATTCCTCGGTTGCTTCCACGTCACAAAGTGAACCGTTTAAGGTTTGGTCGTGAATACCAAACATTGAGAAGTGGAAGAAAGTCCTGTTTTCTGATGAGAAAAAATTCAATCTAGATGGTTTTGACGGCTTCCAACAATATTGGCATAACAGAAACATGCCTGCTGAAATTTTCTCCACACGTCATAGTGGTGGAGGGTTCTTAATGGTATGGGGTGCCCTTTTTTTACAGAGAGACGATGGATCTCCAGGTGGTGAAGGGTTGTCAGACAGCGGCTGGTTATGTTAGCATGCTACAAGAAGCATCGTTGGTGACGGAGGGCAATCGTTTGGTTATTCCAACAGGATAATGCTGCAATCCACCCTGTATGCCGGACCTTGACCTTTCTACAAGAAAATGGGGTCCATCTCTTCAGACGTTCCTGCATGCTCACCGGATTTGGACCCAATTGAAAATATTTGGGGGTGGATTGCAAGAGATGTTTATCGAAATGGCAAACAATATTCAACAAAAATGAACTTCGTGAAACAATCTTCAGAAGCTGGAGCAATATTCCTAGCAGCTTAATGGAAACACTAATTTCTAGCATGCCCTAAACAATTTTTGAAGTCATCAAAACCAGTGGAGGTAGAACTCATTATTAAATTTGGTGGTTGAATGTTTTCGTACACTTTTCGTACAATTTCGTAGAATTTTTGTCTCTGGTATTATAATTTTTATCAAATGTAATACTGGTCAGCTAAACAAAGGTCTTAACACTCATGTCGAGGCACACTCAAGTGGAGTGTTTTTCTTTTTATGTATTACAGAAAATAGTTTATATTTATATATTGTCGGAAAATATACTGCGTCATTATGAACATGTGTTTCAATTTTTTCACGATTAAACGTACAGGATTAGAGTAAATGATTATGTATCCAGATCAATACATGCGCTGCTTTCAAAAGTAGAGGGTGTATCAACATTACTCAAACTCCGTATTAATACAGTTTATATTTTTCTTGGGCTTTAACATATGAATACGGTCTCATGCATGCAAATTCTGTAATTTTTCCGTTTCTGTCTATCAATAGAAGTAGTTAATGTTTATCTACGCTGGTTGCTGATCAAGAATATTTCAGACTCTTCTCAGAGAAAATGGCTTCTACTCTTTCAACGTCTATTTTTCTTTTCTAATTCTCTCATTTTTTGGTTGATTAGTTTGTTAACTTCTCAATTTTTAGTTTTATCTCCCGTGATATTTACTCCAACATTCTTTTCTTTACCATCGCATCTCGTGCTGTTTTTGAGTTATCTCCCTTCGTTATTTCTATTTCCGTTTGTTTTCCCTGTTACCTTTGCAGATTCCTTAATTACAGATGTTAGTTTCCCATTTTTATTTTATCTGTTATTTTCATTATTCAAAAGGGTTTGAAACCCTTGTTTATTTTTACCTGAGATTCTCTGTTCTTATGATGGCACGTTTCCTTCTTGAGAATCGTTTTGTTTCTCTCAATTTTAAAATCAAATTTTACTGTAGACGCTGCGATCCTGTGATCGTTTTCAATATTTTTTTATGCCGCTTATATCTTCGACTGTAATAGGTTTGTCAGTAATTATATAGTAAGGTTCAATACCATCCACTATTAATGACCCTTCCCCTTTGAAAGATTCTGTTCATAAATCATTTTGTATCTTGTTGAGAAATTAGTTAACATTTCGATATTTTCACTCATCTTCACCGTTTCAGATTTCTCTATACAACTGGAATTGTAATCAACAAGCAGAATGATTTTATTGCTTTTCTCTCAGTCCATAACCTTATTGATGTCGTCGTAAGACCCTTCAGTTTTTCATGTGACATTTTTCAAAGCTGATGAATACATTGGATTACTTTTGGGGCATATTTTTCTTTATGGATGGAGCGAATAAGTAAAAAAAAAAGTTTTAAAGGAAATGTCAATAGAAAAAACACATACTCAGAACCGGGTAGAGACAGCTGAAATTCTTTGGGCACATGATGAGGAAGAGGGGAGTGGAAAACGGGGAATATTAAGCGCAAAAGTGATAGGGGTGCAGCGACCCACTTACCTTTTTAAAGTCAAGTTCCGCTATCCAGTCACAAATGAATGGCGAAACTTGACCTTAACAAAAGGAGAAAAACTTCTAAGAACCACACGAGATAGAAAGTTGTGGAGAGCCATGATCACCTATGTCCTGAAGGGACAAGTATCATCATCATCATCATCATCATCATCATCATCACCAGAATTCTGTTTTATCTTCTTCAATGTGCCGTGTCCCTTCAGGACGTTAGGGTTCATGCCTCTCAACAATTTCTTATCCTTTGTAGCTCTTAATAAATATCATCTTTTAGTTGTCTCTCTTAAACTTTGCTCCGCCATCCATTTACTCAAAATCGCTAGGGTAGTTTCTGTGTTGTTTTCCTCTGTCCCTTTAGCCTTCAAGCTGTTTTGTTGGTATTAGAGTTTTCAAGCTCTCTTTATCCATTATGCGCTCGAGACACATTTCAACTGTCTATTTTTGACAAGTGTCCTGTACAAGTGTCCTTTTTGTTTCCATTTTCTCTAAAACTTTCTCGTTGCTCACGAGATAAAATTGTTTTAAACTATGCCAAACAGTCTGTATACCAATTCTTAATCTACTACAGGGATAAAACATTTTTTTATTTCTGTAAATGAGTAAATAAAGGCTGGACTAAAATTCTCTTTCACACATTTGTCTATTTCCGATTTATTTTACTTGAGTTGTTACTATGGTGATGGTAGTGCGATTGTCTATGTGTAATATATGCGTGTGTGAGGGACTGTATCTGTGTCCATACTATGCACTTAATGGTTGAAATAAAGACGTTTAAGTGTCAATTATCAGCATATATACGTATGCGTATAAGATATGCAGTGAAAAGTGTAAATGACATGTGACTTCGTACTGAAAAGAGAGACAGAAAGAGAGAAAGAATGGAGTGGATTTATAGCCTTTAACTTGTCGGTGTCGTCTGGGTTCTGAATAAAAACACCCTGTTAAGCGCTTCAACTCGATTAGGTTTCCCATCATAATGTCAAAAGCAATAATGCGACGAACAAGCTGTTATATGTTCAACTTAGAGCTTTCGCAATCGGTAATTCACAATGAAATTTACTCTTTGAAGAATTTCATACAGTAGTCATTATATTGTCTGATTTGTGATTAAGACAAATGCGTATATCTCTACTAGGTTTATTGCTTGAGTCATGAGTATAAGTAAAAGCCACAATTCAGAAGAACAACTATTAAGGAAGGCACATAATTATTTAGTAAAGTAGGAGCTACAGTTCTTTCGCAATCGGTAATTCACAATGAAATTTACTCTTTGAAGAATTTCATACAGTAGTCATTATATTGTCTGATTTGTGATTAAGACAAATGCGTATATCTCTACTAGGTTTATTGCTTGAGTCATGAGTATAAGTAAAAGCCACAATTCAGAAGAACAACTATTAAGGAAGGCACATAATTATTTAGTAAAGTAGGAGCTACAGTTCTTTCATTTATACCAGAATGGATTTAGCTTTAGTCAGTTTTTATCTTCCCAACATCAATGCCTATACGAGATAGTAGTTGTTAGAAAAATTTAATGTTGAGCACATGAATCAAAATAAAATCTAGTTTTAATCTTACAGTGTGGCATAATGAGTACACTGTTTGTGTATGGGAAAGTTACCATTCATGTCTTTCAAAAATATGAATGCTATTTGATCTCGAACTATTTTTCGTTATTTTAATTTTGCATTTTGATTGATTGATTGGTTTGTTTTCTACGACTTATCAACCCACTGCAGGTTATTTAAAGTCAGAAAATATTTTTAGATTGTAAGAATTGTTTTTGAGATATTAATGTTTCAGTGATACAAATCTTACGAATTAGCCTATACCAGAGGGGAGAAGAAGATATTTGCGCGTAAGCGAATATAACGAACCCATCCGGAATTGGAACTCGGCTCTCCGATGAACAATTCCCAGCCATTATCCATTAAACTACATGCACATCCACGTATACAACACCTGGTATTCCTACGCGGTCACCCATCTAGGTACGGAACAGGCTCGAAGTTGCTTAACTTCGGTGATCGTAAAGGAAATAGTGTTTCAACGTGATGTGACTCATATCTTTCGAGCCAGAAAGATTTGACTTGCAGGTACTCTCCGGAACGACACAATACACAAAGTATCATTTACTGTTTACAGTTTGAAATCCCTCAATAGGTTCCAGTGCCATCTAGGAGAAATCATGCAAAGTATACTGAAAGCTTGATATAAATAGTGAAAAATTCAAACTTGACTGAAGACAAAGAAAATAAACATTTACTCCAAGCCAATCTGACCAATATATATGGTAATGGCAATGGAGAAATTAAGTAGAATTTAAGCGACATTCGTTGTAATTCGTTCCTTCCTTTTTCATATATATGATTTTATCTATAAAACACACGAGTATGAAGAAAGCCATTTGAAGGACGACAAAATGTGAAACATAATTTGTTCCATTTTTATTTCAGTTATTCATATATATGACTTTACACAAGACTAAATGTGGCATTACGTAATAGATGCAGGGAGATTATGTATCATTATTCTGACAAATACCTGCTTGTCTTGAAAATCAGCAAAAGTTTCTGGGGAGAAGTTAGCGGTTTTCTTTCATTTCGTTTCTTCAGAAAATTAATTCTTTTGGAATTAATTAGATACGGCACATAGAGAACTTTTTCACATTTCTAATAACTTTACTCTAAACAATTTGAACTACGAAAGTACTGCTACTACTGCTGGGTGAACACTATAAATATATCCTCGTTTGGTTCTCTCAGTCGGCCATAGATCAATGATTAACATCCTCATCTTGCAAGTCATTGTTTCTTGGCTCGTTCATCAGTACGTAACCTCGTTATCTTTTCTTAGGTCAAGTAATATCCAGTTGGCCAGCCAACAAATCTAGCAACTGCTAAACATGATTCAAGATATTTTGCAATGCTATTCTCCTCGAATCTCTCATTTCGGAGATTACTCATTATCTGGTCTGAAAGATTTACTTGTGTAAGCCGTGAACGAACTTTTAACCAATATCTTCATAATTGGACACTTGATTATATGAAAGGTGACGATGTTAGAAATATGCATCAAATCGTTTATCGTGCGTTATGTGTACCGCGTGTACAGTGCATATGTCTTTCAAAACGTGAGGATATCGATTTTTTAAAAGCCAACCAGCATTCGAGATTTTCGTTCGACTCAAAAGAATACAGAAGCGTAGAAACGTGTCTTTGTGGTCAAACACCAAAAAGATTTTAAAAGAATGCCGACCATTTTCGCCTGGATTGCGTCTGGCTTCTGCCATTATAGACCCAGAAGCAAAGGATCAACTGTGGTGAACATTATGAGAACAAAATTTAATACTGTACCATTTAACTGTCGGAAATTTTCACGAAGTATTTAATACAGATATAGCTATTTGGGAAGGAGAAGGAGATAATGTTATTGGTGAAGACAAATTGAAGAAATTAATACAAACAATGGTCCAGTCGGGCTCTTACTGTCATGACATTATATTAGATTTTCACAATAAAATTGATGTCGATGAATCTTCCCGTTAAGCTGTTGTTAAACCTATTAGTATATACTTATATCTATACGATAAATATAACATATGTATTTCATAAGATAAATATATAATACGAATTTCAGTTTATAATAATATATGTTTTCTTAGAAATACTTATTTATTTGCTGGCGTGAGATTTTATTATGCAACACGACCTTTGTTAATCATACAGTATATATATATATATATATATATATATAATAGTATAGTTATTGATATTTATTTTTTAATTTCTGATATGTAAAGATTATCATGGACCATAAGTAAGATACAGCCTCAAAAGAGAAAGAAGATATTGTCAATTATTACATGATAACTAGACAACATTGGAAATTATGAATAAATTGAAGAAAAAGCACAGAACACTTAAAAAGAGACTGAAAAGATAGAAACAAGATTTATTGATGTGAAAACAATTAAAAGGGTAATAAGTAAGTAAAAATGGATAGATCAGTAAGAAGATATGAAAAAAATGATTTTGCCAAAGAGAGAGAAAAATAAACTATTTTTCATAGTTCTTGTTAAAACCAATATTATCGTATACATATTTAAAATATATCGAAAGAAAATTATATGAATGTAGTGCGTCGTTTATCTCTAAATTATGGTTGAAATCAAGAATAACAATTTAAAATCATATTGTAACGGTCGCTTAAGGGTCAGGTATATGCGTTACCAGGATTAGAAAACTTGTTACTTAGTAGTTGTATGGTAGCAGCAGTAATAGTGCTAAAATTATGAGAATAAGTTTAATGTTCTTTAAAATATAAAAATAAACATTTATCACACACATACATACACACACATACATACACACACATGCACACACACACACATAGATATATCTATTTAGCTGTAATTATATAATGAGTCAGCTACTACGTGATCCTTTAGAGTAACGAAACTACCATATGTTCTTTTAGCTATTGTTGGTCTGTGAGGCAACTTGTTCACTATGAAGTATGAAATTGTGTCTCTATAATTTCCTTGGGTTAGTTCCAAATTTTTATTGTTTCTGTTTGAAAAGAGTCTTACTTATTTGTCTGTTTCTTTGAAATTCATTTTCTTTGTCTGCTTCCCTTTTTGAGAGAGACATTTTTAATTGTTTCTAGTTTTTGCTTTGTATTTCCTAAATAAAAGGATAATATCTGTATGAGGTGTGGACATTATTCATTGAAACCGACGGTCTGTTACACATATAATTTGTGATACACTTAACACTATGGCCTAAAACATTTGCTCGTGAAAATATATTCTAAAAATTTTACTGACATCGATTAACACAAATTTTATTGCGAAATCATTTGCTTGCATAATAAAATCTGACAGTATTGCCATGTCTGTTGAACAGACAGATGGTTAAATACACAATATACATATGTGCATACAAGCATAAGTATACCTAAGAAAAGGAATAGACAAATTCACACACACACACACACACACACACACACACACACACACACACACACACACACACAACTCATATTCTGTCTGAATTTCTGAAATGAAGAATTTTCATTATTTAAACTCGAAATAATGTTCTAATCTATGCTGATACGATCACAATGTTTTGGTCGTTATGTCCTCTGTCCTTCTCCAGGTGTCTGCCTATCCGGGTAACTGCAGGGAATTTTGAACAAAACACTTTATCTAAACTACGAAGTAGATTGTTCTCGTTCCGCTATCCATCTTTATATATTTCCTCTTGTTCATTATTGCAATTCCCTGTTTCTACTGTACTGCCTGGCTCAGGATTGAACCTTCATTTACTATGCCACTAATTCACGAATCAATGCTTTAAATCACATGGGACAACCCCGAAGCTAAAACTTGGATCCTTCAATTAATGTTTTTATTGCCTCCTATGTTGCTCCCGAGTTACTGTCAAGCTTAACGCTTTTCACAGCTATTTATTCTTCCTTCCTTTCTTTATTTCTTTCTTTCTTTCTTTCTTATGAAGTACTACATAAAATTTTCGAGAGCAGAATGTAATATTTTTTTTGGCAGTACATTTTATTGATCAGTACATTTTGCAAATCGAAAAGCGGCACGCTGATAGGCAGCTTTTTTATCAGGATATATATATATATATATATATATATATATATATATATATATATATTGAACAATAAAAAAATATTAAAAATTAAAATCTTCAGACACACTGGGTTGTAGATTAATATTCTTTCGTTTTTTTTTTATTTTTATTTCATTTAGATTCCTTGACTAGTTTCGGCCAAAATGGCCATCATCAGGAGAATAAATATTTCTGCTTGCTGGTAGCAGTAAACTACAGAAATAAATGTCTTGATGGAGAAAATGAACTTTTTCATTTGTTTTTTTTATTTTTTTATCTTTTTAACATGAATCTTTTAACATTCCTTTTGTTGGTCAGACAGTCTCTTTTAAGTTGTTATTTGAGATAAGAGCTGGATGGATCTATGCTTCTCTGAATTCCCCTGGTCAGTTTGACAGTTTTATTGGTCCTGGAGAGGGCATGTGTCTCTGTTAAGTGTTTGTGTATGTGTTATTTGGTTCTTAGGGAGTGAGTTAGTATGATATGTGTAAGCCTGTGTATTGCTGTGGGGGTGTGTTATCATTTGGCTCATTAGGGAGTGAGTGAGTATGATGTGTGTAAGTGTGTATATAAGTGTGGGTGTGTGTATAAGTGTGAGGCCTTAACACCTCGGTAAGCATGTCTGTCTTGTGTTGGTGAGAAATGTGGGTAGGTTTTGATTTGTTGAGTTATATATTAGTACTATCTATATTGTTAAATTTATGGTTTAGCCCGGCTGGATAGTGTTTTTTTAGACGTTGTATCCACTTATTTTCATGGGACTCTAAAATCTTTCTAATGTTATCTGCTCTGAACTTTTCTATTCTCTCAATTATAGTGAATTTGGCATGGGTTTTGAAATCGTGTTTTTCCAGGCGGAAATGTTGTTCTACAAGTAATAATTTTTCATGGGGAGTCGACTTATATAAATATATATATATATATATATGAGAGGTGTATGTGTGCGTATGTGTGTATATGCATTGGTAAAGTACTGGAGACTAATCAATTCTGAATTGGTTAAGCATCTCATTTCAGACGACCCCCGTTTCATTAATATATCTTCGGTCAACCGCAGATATATTAATGGTTATTACTAAATTGGTCTATCAAGCTTTAGATAAGAACGGTGTGGATCGAGCTGTGGCTTTAAATATGAATGCATTTGACAGGGTTCGGCATGCTGGCCTTCCACACAAGCTGAACAGCTATGGTTTCTCTGGCCGAATATTTGACAATCCAATTGTTCTTAACAAATCGTGTAATGAAAGACGTGAAAGCCACTCTTCTAGATCATTTAATATTAATACGGGTGGCCCCCAGGGCTCTATTCTTGGACCTACGTTGTTTCTTATCTTCATTAACTAACTTCCCGATGTCAACAGTTCCCAACTCGGTATTTATGCTGATGATACAACTATTTGCTTCTCTCTTATAG